GGGGGGGGGGGTGTTGATTGTCACACAGCATCATGGTAATTGTAGTTGGTGTGTGTGTACAGTAGTTCATCAGCGATCCCTAGATCACTGGTGATTGTCACATTAACATTATGTCAGTATGACAAAGTCCAATTTATGAGATAATTTGTGAGATTTTTTATGAAATATTTAATTGTCAGATTTATAACTGAAAATTTACAACACTAAGACAGTTTAAAAGTCTGACAATCATAATTCTTAAATAAAATTATCAATTGTTAAAGTTAATTATTGAAATTATGAAATAAAGTCTTAGTTATGACAGAAAAGTCCAATAGCTTCCAAATTATGTGATATAAAAGTTAAAAGAACGAGATAAAAGTCATAATAATGACATAAAAGATTGAAAATTATGCAAAGAAAAATAAAAAAATGTAATATTATGAATTTTAAAATCACATTAAAATCCAAATTATGAATAAAAAAAGAAATAATTAAACAAAAAGTCACTTTACTTATGGTTTTAAAAGGTGTAATTTAATTATGGGATAAAAAAGATGAAAAAAATATTATTAAAATATTGTTATAATGACAAATAAAATTATAAATTGAAATTAAGAAAACGTTTTTATTGTCAGATTATAATAAAGTTGATGACTGCAACCTTATTATGTTGTAAATATTTGTAAATATCAGCCATATTTCCATTTTGCAAGCGTTGTAAAAAAATGTACACTTTCAAAAACGCCATACAGTAATTATCATCTCTGCTTAGACTCTACAATAAAATCCCTGTACATTTGCATCGACTAAAAATGAGCAATACATTTGTTATAGTACATCAATCTTTGTTGAATTACTACTTAAAAATGCAATTATTCATAGTCAGTGCATGTTAGCTGAGGTCAATGATGATTACATTATTATTAACTCAGATTATTTAATGCTTTAGACATATTTTACTATATATTTGATCATTAATGCATTTAACTTGTGCTATCAAACTGTATTGCAAAGAGTATGTAAACACCTTATTTACAACATCTGTAACCAATTATAAACATAAAGGTAAATTTGTTAAAGAAAAGTAACATTGGATATGCTTTACAAATATCTGAAGAAGCATAACAGTGTGCAGATTCTCATGACCCACATTCTGCAGTTCATGCTCTTTTCTTAAAAACATGAATGAGTCTTAATGAGTTGATGAAATCGCTGTGATGATGAAAAATCTGCATAAAAAGGAATTACACTCACATGAAAAAAATACTACAGGAATTTATAGTAAATACTAGTTCATCCACACTATAGTTACGTGTATTATACTGTATAATGCACTGCACTGTATATTATACTATTATACTGTTGTACACTCTAAAAATTATTTTTATACAAACAAACAAAAAACATGCAACAGTTTGCATAAATATATTTAAGTTACAACATCATCTAACAAAATGAAGTTTAGACAACAAACTTTATCATGTTAGCCAAATCGGTCCCACTTTATATTAAGTGTCCTTAACTACTATGTACTTACATCAAAAAATAAATACAATGTACTTACTGTGTTTATAATGTATTTGAGAACACTTGTGGTGCTTTTGAGTTGGGATAGAGGTTGGGTTATGGACAGGTTTGGTGGTATGGGTAGGTTTAAGGGTGGGTTAAGGTGTAAGGGATGGTCAACAGTGTATTTACAAATGTAATTACAAAAGTTAATTACAGATGTTATTCATACATGTATTTAATCAAGCATAAGTACACAGTAAATACACGTATTTACACAAAAAGTACATTGCAACAAATTATTAATTCCTGTGTAAGTACATATTAGTTAAGGCCACTTAATATAAAGTGGGACCGCCAAATCTTTTCCTCTTCAATCAGAGGCATTTTTACATAGCAAAAATCTCAAATTTTTAAGTCGAGTTTAAAAAAAATAAGTTGTTTCAATTGTTTTTTGTTTTTTTTTTATTTAAATTAAAAATAAATCCAGTGTTGTGTACTAAATTAAATGCACGTTTCCAAGTTTAAAAACTCAAATAAATAAAGAAGCCGAAATTCTTTAATTTTTTGTTTTGTTTTTAAATTTGTTTTTAAATTTGTATTAAACCACAGGTTTTCATTGTTTTACAAAACAAAAACATGCAATAATAATAATAATAATAATAATAATAATAATAATAATAATTCCTTACATTTATTTAGCGCTTTTCTGGGCACTCAAAGCGCTTTACACACAATGGGGGGAATCTCCTCATCCACCACCAGTGTGCAGCATCCACCTGGATGATGCGACAGCAGCCATTTTGTGCCAGACCGCACACCACACACCAGCTGATTGGTGGAGAGGAGACAGTGATGAAGCCAATTGGAATATGGGGATGGTTAGGGGGCCATGATGGACAGAGGCCAGTGGGCAGATTTGGCCAGGATGCTGGGGTTAAACCCCTACTGTTTTCGAAGGACATCCTTTTTTTAACGACCACAGAGAGTCGGGACCTCGGTTTAACATCTCATCCGAAAGACGGCGCTCACTGAGCAGTATAAAGACCCCGTCACTATACTAGGGCATTAGGACCCACACAGACCGCAGTAATGTTAAACAGATTCAGGAATTTCTCACGGTATTTCCTATAATATTTTTTCCTCTGGATAAAGTCTGATTTGTTTTATTTCGGCTAGAATAAAAGCAGTTTTTAATTTATTAAACACCATTTTAAGGTCAATATTACATATATATATACACTGTAAGAAAAAAAATCTTTAAAAAAAAAGGTCAAATGACTGGCAGCTACGGCTGCCAAACAAAAACCATAAAATTATGGTAAAATGTCTTTGTTAAAATAAAATGCAAAA